GTTCAGACTTCAGCGACCCCCCCTCCCCCCCCCTGCCCGCACGCCCAAGATGACGCCAGACGCCGCCATCTCGCCGCTGCTGCTGACGGCGCTCCTCTTCGGGCCACTGGTGGCCGGGCTGGCAACGCACGCGGTGCCGGAGCCGCCGGCGCGCGCGTGGCACCAAACTCTGCACAAGTCGCCGTACCGGCCGCCGGGCTTCGTGTTCCCGGTGGCGTGGGTGTGGAGCTACCTAGCGATGGGGTACGCGTCGGTGTTGGTGTACGAGCGCGCGGCGCGCGGGCCGGCGCTCAACGTCGTCGCGGCGGCGTACCTCGCGCACCTGGTGCTGCTCAACGCGTGGGCGCCGCTGTGCTTCGTGGCGCGGCGCCTCGACTGGGCGCTCAAGGCGCTCGTCGCGCTGGACGCGCTCGTGGCCGCGCTGCTCGTCGCCGCGGGCGCGCTCGCCCCGCTCGCCGCCGCGCTCTGCCTCCCTTACTTCTGCTGGCTCCTCGAGCTCACCTACCTCAACGTCTTCATGGTGCGCAACAACGACCCCGCCCTCGCCGGCTGGGCCGCGCAGACCAAGGCGCAGATCGTCGCCGCGCACGCCGCGCCCGCCGTGCATCACGTGCGCGCGGACGGGCGCGCGGACAAGACCGAGTGACGCGGATACTGTAAGACGTGGGCTGCGTAGCCGCGGGCTAGTAGCCCCTACGTGTAATTTTTTTTAATATCTGCTGTCCGGATACGGCTCCCCATCGCCCGTCGCCCGTCGCCTGTCGCCTGAGGGCCGTTCCTAACGAAGAGTTGGGTGTGCTAGCACACTAACTAGCACCCTAGCATTTGGCATGAATGGATTGGTTGAACGGGAGTAAAAGCATTTCCAATCATTTTTTCAACCAATACATTCATGCCAAGTTTCAGGGTGCTCGGGTGCTGGCACGGCGAACTCTTCGTTAGGAACGGCCCTGATATTTGCACCGTATCTCCCTGCCCGTCCGCCCGCCACAGATATCTGCACACACCTGTCCGCGCGACCCGTCCGCCCGCCCGACTCGTCGCCCTCCATCCGTCTTTCCGTCTACGTCTCTACCTTTCGCACCCCACATCCTTGATTTCAACACCGCCGAGACCCCCCGTCTCGGCCCGTCCCCCCCACCGCGCGCACCCCCCCCCGGGCCCCCCGTCGCCCCCCGTCGCCCCACGCACGCGCCGCCATGACCCCGCCCGCCTTCCTCGCCGTCCTGCTGTCGCCGCTGCCGCCCGCCGCCGACCTGCCCCTCTACGCCGTCTTCCTGCTCATCCCGCTGCTGGGCGGCTGCCTCTCCTTCCTCTCCTCCGACTGCTCGCGCGGGTCGCGCGCGTGGCGCGCCTCGCTGCGCAAGTCCTCGCTCTCGCTCCCCACCCTCGTCGTCGCCCCCGTCTGGATCCTCCTCTACCTCTGCATGGGGCACGCCTCGTACCGCGCCTACCAGGCTGACACGCGCGACGCCTCCCTCGCCTCCGGCCTCGTCGCCTACCTCACACACCTCCTCCTCAACCATTTCTCCATCATCGTCCTGTTCGGCCTGCAGCGCATCGACCTCGCCCTGCTCATGGCCATCCCCCTCTGGCTCTCCACCCTCGTCACCACACTCCTCTTCTACGACGTAGACCGCCACGCAGCCGCCCTCATGCCCCTGTCCTCCTCTGGGTCTCGTACAACGTCTATCTCAACCTCTTCCTCTTCCTGAACAACCCCGTCCTACACAGAGCTCGACCTC